TATTTTAGACTAATTGCATTGTTTGTATTTTATTCTAAATATTTGTCGATCATTAGCAGCAATTGCATAAATTTAATTATGGTATTGTCGTTGTCGATGTCGTTGTTGTTGTTGTTGCTGTTGCATATTTATCTGCCCCTCGAGGTACGAAATAATTTTGCTGTTCAATTAGTTTTATGCACAAATTCGAACGGAAAATGGCCATCAGGTCTCATTTTTTCTGCTTCTTCTCTTGTTTTTATAGCCACTATAAACATAAAAGTTTTCCCCAGCGCACACACACACACATGCCACCCACACACGCACACGCACAGTCACAGATTGTGCACAAAGCCTACCCAAAGACACACACGCACATGTGTGTGCGTAGCATAATAAGTTTTGATTTGCTTTTATTTGCTGAAGCCCAGAGGCCAAAACAGTTGTCCTCAACACAAACACACACGCACACACACACACCTGAATGGGCAAGACGCACGCATGGCTAGGCAGCCAAGGAGTGAGTGGGCGTGGCAGACAGACATACGCCCTAATGAAAATGTATAACGAGTTGGCTAAGTGTCGACGTATTTATATATTATTTATGTATATTTTTTTGGCATATGCCAGCTGCTTGACTGCGTTTTAGCCTAACAGGACAGCCACAGACAAGTAGCTCGTGCTGCTGCTGCTGATGCCGGGCTCTGTTCTCACTCCGCCTCCCCCACTCTGCTGCCGCTGACCTGCCACATTATGTGTGCGCCTTGAGGCTAATGCCATGGGCTTTGGCTTTTTGGTTTGCGCTGCTCAGGACAGTGCACACAGTACACTGCCAGATTGCATTTGCAATCGATTCAATTCCATTGCCTACTTTGCGGCGCCTCTCAGTTACGCTCCTGTTGACGGCCCGTCGGCGTTGCTGCCTCTTTGTCTGCCTGTCTGCCTGTCTGTCTGTCTGACTGAGACAGCTTGAATGGCGCTCCTAGCTTTCAATTCAATTGCACAACTGACAGCTGACACGCCCCACTAACTGCCCCAGCGTACCCCTCTCTGGCTTCCACCATTGTTGCTCATTTTTAACAGTTTAACGATTGCAACTGACACTCGAAAATGCGCAACAGCAGCAGCAAAATTATATTTATTTTATTTAAATTCCTGCAATTTTATAATGCATTTTTTTTCTTTTATTTATTTCATTTGTTGTGTTTGCAATTTGTCGTGCAGTTTTCATGACATTTTTGCATCTAATCTGCATTTATTTGCGGCTGACAAAATCTATGTTGAATAGATTAAAACCCTGAAGGCTTAAATTGAAATGCCTGCAAATCGGATATGCCGAACTGTCAATTAATTAATTCAAAACGTAAACGTTGTGGAACTTATTAATTGGCCACTTTTTCAGCTATTCAAATCGTGGTTTTTATAGAAATTTATATTGAAATATATCAAAATAATATTTAGGCTGCTGTTTAAAGTGATCAATTTTTGTTTTGTCAACTATCTGGCAGCGCCAAATAAAGCTAATGTGCCGTTAAGTTAGCTGCAGTCCATATAATTCATATACGTATACCCAGATAGAGGTCGCTCGGCTCAAAAGCGTCGAAGAGAAATATTTGAAATACTTAGGAGCTTATACTGCATGATACGATATTGCATTGCAGTGCGCTATAAAGTTGGATTTACTTATTTCGTTAAACTACAGCTTTTGGTTATCTGGCAACGCCAACTCGGCTTATGTGCGTATTAAGTTGGCTGCGACTGACCTATTTTTGAGTTTAAGCTGAAATCGCAGTCAAAAAAACCTGATCATGTTGCGTAATGCACCGTGATCCTATATTAAGTTAAAAATTACACATTTTCGCATTTCTCTTTTATAAAAAAAAATGGTAACAAATTTTTATATGCTTGGAAAAAATCCGCGCAAATAACCCACAAAAAAGTGAAACTTGAACGCTTTCAAATATTTGTCAATTTGGGAGAAGAAAATGAAATTATTTGGTTTTCTTTGTGCAGCTTTAGAGCAAGCAAAATTTATTTTATTCCGGGTATATAAAAAATGTCTTTATTTATATATTTATGCATGCATATTCACGCCCAGCCACGCCCAGCCACGCCCATGCACATATGTAGCAACTGTAAAACTGTCAATATTTGTATTGATTTATCGCCTGGTTGGGGCTTCATTTTTAGTCCCCACTAAAACGAAGGAAAAAAAACGCTCACAAACTGTTGTTTCCCTTTATTTTTGTTTTGTTCTTCGTCGTATTTATATTTGTCAAAAAGTGCCAAACAATATTTTGCGTCGCTTTATTTTGTTGTTGCTGCTGTTGCCCGGCACAATTGCATTTCAATTTTAGACCCCTCCGCGCCCCACACATCGCTGTTTTACTTTGACAAATTGTTGCCAGTTAAAATTCATATAGAAAAATTCATATGAAAAATATGCGAAATATGCTGGGGCAACACATCCAGAGGAATTCCTTTGGGGCCAGTCCCACCCAAAACTAACTCGGCACACACTGCATAAACGTTACAAATTTGACAAACATTTTTCTGCTCCCCAATGGTGAAAATTACAACAAAACTGTTGGAAAAGTTGTTACCAATTTACTTCAACTTTTTTTTCTTTCTGTTTTGTGCTATGCTTCAAATGTTTTCCAACTATTTTATGGCGAAGGCAAGCGAAGAAGTTAAACGAGAAGTCAATTTCATTTGCACATAAAAGCTCGAATTAGAAAACGAACGAACGAATAGCTAAGGGTATCGTAATGAATTCCAGTACTTTTAAATGGGAATCCCATACATTTCTTGCGTAAAGCGTGAGAGTGCATCTCACTTTAGTCCTTGGACGTGTCTCCTTGGCATCAATATTCCTTTGATTCGCTCTGCCTCTTTGAATGTTTTCCATTTACACATTGCTTTTCATTCTGATATCGTTTACACCTCGTTTTCACGTCGCTTTCCATTAGCTTCTCACTTAATTTTACAATTTTCTGCTTTCATTATTTGTTACTTAGCTTCTCCAGTTTTTTTCCGTTTGAACCTTACCTTTCGTCTCAACTTGCATTTCGTCTCGCTTTTTTCACTTTGATTCTCAAATTGGTCAATTCGCTTTTCTCGTTGGTTCTTGAGTTTCCCTTATTCCATTGCATTATAATTTAATTTTCCTTTGCTCAGTTCGCCTCGATCTTCTCCTTTAGCTTATCTCTCTTTTTGAGGCCTGTTTTTTCTCTTTCCTCACTTCTCTCTTAGTTTGGCTCTGGCGGATTTCTGTGTTTCTCAAGCTGGAAAGCTTTAATTTATGATAACTTCTCGCCTTTCTGCTTCCTTAAAGTATTTAATGACTCACTATTAAGTTGCGTCACGTTGATCAGTCCCACAAAGTATGTTCGTAATGAAGGACCAAACTTTTAAGTCTGTTGCAAAAACCCAACATAATAATAAATAAATGAGTTAATGCAGTTCGTTGTAAGGCCAAAGACACGGTAAATGCATTTTGCAAGCCATTCAACTTTTGCACTACGCACACTCACACACACGAAGAAACTTCACAAGAGCCGCCAAGCAACAAGGTTCCGTAATAATGCAAAAGTCGCCTGTCGACCCGACCTGTCCCGGTCTGTCCTGGGCCTGTCCTGAGCCTGTCCTGGGCCTGTCCCTTGCTCTTCCGGAACCAAATGCAAAACTTGGCAACTCAACTCGAGTCAAGCCGAACCCACCCAGCCACAAAGCTGCAGCTGAAGATGAAGTGTTTATCTGAGGTTTTTATTATTTCTTCTTTTTTTTTTTTTTTTTGCTTTATTCATTTTGCAGTGAGTGCGCGGTTATTCACACCTATGAGCAAAAACGTGAATGAATGACAATGTCAGGTGGGGCAGTGTGTGGCTCCACCCCACCCGACCCCACGCAGCGGTTAGAGCCGGCGTATATTCTTCTAGTGGTTGCGTCTGCTAAAACTTTGACTTTTGCTAATCTGCAATGCAGCGCGTTGAATGTTTAAACTTGCCCAAAAGGGGATTATAAAAATTGGTTTATGCTGTGATAAATTCATGCCTTCACTTTTTTGGCTTGCACAGTCACAAACTTTGCTCAAGTCGTGACCCTAATGAGAGCTGCACAGGTCTCGGCCCGAACAGGGAAGCATTAATTATGCAGCCAGCAGCTGTTAATGGTGCTTGAAAATACCCTGTAGCCCTAAAAGCGGGTGAGCATCCTGTAGTCTAATAAGTGATAAAGGGTATATAGACCTGTAATTGGAAATAGCAGCTGGAAGGTTGAAATCTAAAATATATAGACTTTAAATATAATATGTACATGCCTGATTAATCTGGGCAGCTTTAGGTTCTAGATGGAAGGAACTTCAATATTTATATGTGATCTTGTAAGCTTTATATATATTTATACATTATATATTTTGTCATTTCGCTGTAAATAAAATAAGCAAAATATACGTCAACTTTATTGATTAATATTTATTAATCAATCTATTTAATCAGGCTACTACATACAGGATATCTGCTAGTCGAACATTCTCAAAAGCACATTAAATATAGCTATTTTTTTGGTTGCGTGCCATCTGCGATGCTTGCAATGAGAATTTTTTTTATATCGATTTTTTCAGTTGCATCATTAAAAATGCATTTGTTAAACAATTTTTGTTGTTTTCGTTGTTGTTGTTGTTCTTATTGTTGCTGCATTTGCATTGTTCTTAATTAATTGATTTTTGCGGCCAGCCCAAAGCGTGAGTCGAGGGAAATATCTATAAAAAGTACTCAAAGCTGCCTTTCACAAACATATTCAATATAGTTCCAGCAAATGACAATATAAATCTCCTTTTCCTACTTTAATTAATGAAATGCAAATATTTCCATATACAATATATATACATATATATCTGTGTAGTAAAAGAAGACAAAGAAAAACTTGGAATATGCTGCAAATTAAAAAAGTTTTCGTCATGTTTGATGCGAATTTTTCCGTTGCGTTCTTGTTTTTTTCTGACTTTATTTCTTTATTTACAGAAATCTGTGAAACCGTCGGCGACAGCACCCGCATCCTCATCCTCATCCTCCACATCAGCGAACCGAGATGAAATTTATATCGATGACGATGAAGGCTCCGGCGGACGTGGCGGGGTAAGTTTCAATTTCCAAATTCAAATCTCAATCCCCAACTCAAATGAATTAAATTGGGCAACTCGTTGGAGTCTAATCTTGATCTGGGTCAAAAAAATTGTTGCTCAAAGAGCTGATTCGGCAAGTTTTACATTTCAATGAGCAGCCATTGATAGGAGTTACACACACATACATAGGAGCTGTACTTCATTTCCGTCTATTATTATTAAATGTATTTTCATTTTGTTTTCTTGTTTTTTTATTGCATTTGCATATTTCATGATGTTGTGCGCATATTAAAATCCCATTTGTACACAGGCTATGAAAGACTTATTGTTATGCAAGTAAGCGGTCAGTTTTAACATTTGAAGCACACCCACTCACACACACACACACACACGCACACACATTTTTATATATGTACACAGCTGCCTGTTTTTTGACTACTTTTTTATGGCATAATTCTCGGGCGTGGCGCCAAAAACGCTTTTTATGCGTTTAATTTAACAGCAGGCAAAATGATGTGCGTGAAACCAAAGCAAAATATGCAAATTTTAATATACCAAAGAGCTGGTATGCTCTGTCTGAAATATTTGAATAAATATAAACAAAAATGTTAAATATTAGCATAGCAACAATTTAAAGCAGCTGCTGTACATTGAGGTTTAGCTTTCGGTTTAGGTCAGATAGCTCGACCTTAGCCAGCAAAATGTGATTCATTTCGATGCCTAGTAAATTGGTAGATGGAAGAATAAGAATATTTTTCAAATTAATCGGTAGCTAGTAAAAGCGATTTACTTTTAAAATCTAGCTAGTTTGTGATCTACGAAGTGCAGGCAAATTTTTCACAATGTTTTGATTATTATGTGCTTGAGATCTTTGCGTTATTTTTGTATTCAACATCTTCTTTTGATTCATAAAATATGCAAATGCAATGAAAATTTAACAAAATATATTATCAAATATATGTAAGTATATATATTTACGATTTAGGTAATGTTACAGTTAGCCTATATCACTAAGAAACTTAATGCTTATATTTAAAGACTGCAATCTAGTTTTAAAAGCCAATTTCAGCTGCAGTTAAGCTATACAGCTGGCATGTATGTATTTGGCATGTATGCAGGTATGGAGGGAATCAATATAATAATAATAATAATAATAATAATAATATATTACAAGTCTAACTAGTAACATGTTAAAAGTTTCCAAAAGTTTTAGCAGAATAAAATATTTAAAACTTCGACTCTAGTTAGCTTCCTTTTTGGCTAACAAAGCAATTGAACCCATTCAAAAAGTGAACGGGGAGTTCTTTTGCTGCCTTTTTCACACACACACACACACACATCACTTGAGAACAAAATCGTGATGGCCTGTGTCAAGGTTTGAACAAAACAAGAGGTGTAAAATGTGCACGTTTTTGGCCTGAAGTGGCAGCTTTCATAATAAAAAGTTGGCGTTGAAAACACATTTGTTTATGCGCATAAAATGTTAATGCAGCAAATACATGATTTGTTATTGTTGTTGTTAGACACAGGCGCACGGCCTGCCACTTGTGTTTTGCGTGTGTGTGTGTGTGTGTGTGCGTGCGTGTGTTTCTGACATGTGAGCGACATTTTGTTTGAAAGTTTTTTGACAGCCGCTGCTTGACATACATACATGGCAAATACACACACACACACACACACACACGCACGCAGAAGCTGCGTCAATTGTTGACGCAGACTTTTTTGATTTGTTTTTAGTGCGCACGCACACACACACACCGTTTTGTACGCCCACACACTCCTACACACACACTTCAAAAGAGCAAAAACAAAAAATAATTAAAATACGTTGCGCTGTCATTCGCCCGGCTGCAGCCCTCATTTCGCTTTGCACAGCAACAAAACATACAAAAAATAGATGTGTATAAAGTTTAATTAAATTCTTTTTCGGTTTCCGATTTCCTTTCTATTGCCCCGCTCGAATTTAATTAAACATTCTGCCAATGTCGCCAACGCGCTTTTTGCCATTTTTATTTTTGCGCTTCAACTCGCTAAACTCTCAGCTCAAAGAAAGGGCTGCAAACACAGATACAAGTTGTATGAAAAATAGAATTAAATAAAAGCCGTGCAAATGAAATTAAAGCAAGGCGCGTAATTCAATCTCTCAGCGATGCGGGGCACGTTGTCGGCCGGCCGCTGCTCCTGTTACTAAATCAACACGAAATGTCCTGTCCCAATGTCCGTCGCATGGATTTGCATAAGCGCACGGCCCGGAAAAAGGAGTTGAATATGTGGCATATTTGGCTATTTGTTTCAGCGCTCAGATTGGGCCAAAAACAAAATAAAACGGGCCAAAACTGTTGCCAAAAACTTGACTGTGCTTGTTGTTGTTGTTGAGCCTTGGCCAAAGCAAAAGCTCTAGCCAAAGCGTGTCAGTCCAGCTAACTGTCTGTCACACACACACACACACTCCATCTCTCTCTCTCTCTCTCTCGCTGTCGCTAGCTCGGAGTGTTTTTCTTTTGCTCTGCCCTCCTGCTGTTCTGTATTTTCGCACTGTGGCATTTTCTAATTTCCCCTTGCCGCCTCGGCTCTAACGCTTTCTTTCTGCGCCATTTCCGTTGCGGCGCTGCATGTCCTGGCTGAGTTGGCATGTCCTGCCTCGTATGAGTTGGCATTTTTATGCAACTGACAAACGCCAACGTCGCCTCTCATGTGTATATGAGCTGACAGTCCCACTCGCCCGCTGCCCGTCTTCCAGTTACCAACTTGAAGTCAGCCAAATGCAATTTATTACACGCTCTGTTGCCCCATTTGCGGCAAGTTGCAAGCAGCTGCCTGCTTTAAAGTAATGAAAAGCCACCTTGCTAGGCAACAATTCCTAGGTTTTTTCTATTTTTATACTCGAGTCTAAAATTATGCTTCAAAATATTGAAATACTGTCTCAAATGTCAAGCAACGTTGCCTGTCGGCTGCTTGATTTTCCGCTGGGTTTCATTTTGGCATAAATCAGACAAGCTGAAAGTCGCTTCAGCGCCATGAGCATAATCCCGAAAGCAACTGTGCCAAGATTGCCTGACTCGGGCATGCACCTAACCAAGGTCTGATTTGACCTAGTATATGCATATTAGTTGCAGAAAGATACACACACAAAACATAACAAAGATTATTCGAAATCTTGAGAAGCGCATAGATGGAAGGTATTTAAAGAGAAGTACGCGGAATGGAAAGCCTTCCCCCTCTGTTTTTTTCTTATCACCGAGTGAGTAAGAAAGAAGAAGAAAATTGAAAAGGAGAGAGCATTCGAAATCGTGAGAAGCGCATAGAAAGGTGCATATTTAAAGAGAAGCGAATGGATCTTTTTCTCTTTAAACGTCGAGTAACTAAGAAAGCAGGAGAAAAATTATGAACGAGCGAATTTTGAATATTTTAAAAACATACATCAAGATATCAAGCGCTTGAGTAAGTTCCATAGTCGAACCTTCTTACATAATTCAAAAGTTGCAGCGCTTTCTCGCTTAGCTCAGTCCCGTGTCCTTATTTCAGGCCGTGTCATTTATCCTTTAACTGTATTATTAATGATATACAATGAAATGCTTTCGCCAAGTCCTTTGGCTCGTGCTGTCTGGTGCCGCTGCGTCTGTTTATAAATTATGATACATTTTCGGCAGCCTAATGTGTCATTTCACATAGTTGTTTTAGATTAATCAGTGGAAGCCAAGTTAATCAACGCATATGCCGCATGATTTATGATTGCCTGCGGGGCTGCCTCTTGCCGCCGCTGCTGTGCCACATTTAACACATGTTTCACAGCCATCGAGAGAGTTTGGCGGCCATTTTTGAGGCGTGTCAACAGGATAATGAGATTTTGTTGCAGCTCAGCAAATATGCAAATATCAGCATAGCTCAAAGCCAACCTGCCACACAATGCGGCAGGCATTGGTCCAGCTGCAGCAAATGCTGTCCCTGCTGCTGCTGCTGAATGTTGTAATTTGTGTTCTCCTTGTTGTTGTTGCCGCTGTTGCCGTAATAAGCCGCATTGCATTGCATTTACAGTCACAGCAGCAGCAACATTTCTGGCACGTTGCAACTGCCTCTGCCTCTGCTGCTGCTGCTGCTGCTGCTGTCCCTCTGCATGTGGCATATGCAGCTCCTTGTTGATTAATAACGGGCACATGGCGCACGTGTTTCAGCAGAAGCCAGCTACAGTCTGCACACCATACTATTATACTCAAATACGTGCACACGCAAACACACACACACACACACACACACGCACACACACGCACATGCACATAGTGGCTGCTCAGTTGGTATTTGTGTCACAAATGCCACACATTCGGTAAATGCGCATTGACAATAAATTAACATCGATTGACATGGCCCACACAGGAGACGCATTAGCTGCGAATACAGCCAAAAGCAGAGCTTATGCACTAAGAGAAAAATATGGTTAGAATAGGGTAGAAAGAAATAAATGGGAATAAATGGGAATTTGTATTTAGACAAAAGGAAATGAAGAGAAGAAAAACAAAACTCATTAGAACCTAGTCTGAGATCATTTGAAGGTGGTAACAAAAAAGAAGAAACTCTTGAGGTTGAGGTTTTATTTAGGAGTTTGTTTATTAATTTATTTTTCATATAAGCATCATAGATTTAGTAATAAATCTATTATATCAGTAAACTATTCATCTTAAAAGTGTCATAGCCTTTTTTATCTTCTGCTTGAATCACGTAAAACATTTATAAAAATATAAATAGCACTTCAAACTGTCAAGATATAACTGTTTATGAAGGAAAATCTTAAATGAAAGCAAACATTTTGATTATATTTCCTTCTTCTTCAGAATATACTTTCTCTTTGGTTTGGGTTAAAAGTCTTGTAAGGTTTTCATAATTTGTGCACCTCTTTTTTCGCAGAGTGTCTCTGTAACTGAATCAAGCTGACCAAAAGTATGCAACACACTCTAACGATCGCACACACACACACTCACACACACACACACTCACACGCACACACACGCTGCTTGTGTG